CGGGCTACACGTTTAAGGCGGCGGATAGGCAGACGTAATGCCCTGATGCAGGCTAGCATTTTGGTTGCTGTTATACATACGGCTCCTCCTTGCCGTCTCTGAAGCGCCGTCTTCCATTCGCCACCTTTTACGTCCTCGCTCCAATCCGTCGTCGTCATCCCCTTCGTGCTCTCGATTGACGAGACTAACCCTTCGCCTTATCTTTCGTCCCTCTATAATTCGTTTCCTAGTTTGCTGTTTTTTGCATCTTCGCTTTGCACCTCTCGAATTACACCTTCGCGCTCAATCTTTCTCTATTTCTTTCTTCCTTTCTCTCTCTTCCTTTTTGTCGTTTTCAACTTCTTTACTTCGGTTCTTACTTCGTCGACGTCGATGGAACGTAGCCGATCGAACGACACGACGAAACAAGAAGGGGAAAAAAATATACTCTGTCAGATGCATGAAATGCGTTTATTGATTTCCTAACGACCATCAGGAGGCGGACTCTATATTTTGAATTCCGATCGCTGGACGTGATCTTGATAGCGAAAACACCAAGCGCAGGCCTTTCTGAGATTGAACCAATATTTCTGTCCTTGTGTTTCTTTTTTTCACTGTTTTATTTTTGGAATATGTATAAGGCTTTTTTCGAATTGCATTGAAAATTTGATAAGGCTTCAGGCGGTGACACCGTGCTCCAATTTTGTTGGGGCGACACGACCAAAATCGACCAAACACTAACAAGCCGAGCTTGGCTCTCGCGCCCGGAAAGAGGGATGGGGAAGGGAGGGAAAAAGGAGAGGGGGGGGAGGTGGGCGAGAGAGAGACATGTGCGTGCACGGAGTCAGCAGGGCTAAATTACACGTTCGATAAAATAAGCGCTAGGGCATACAAAGCGTGCCCGTGAAGCGCTCAGCCGCACGCGCACGGATCCTTTGTCCGCAGCCGAGCGAACGTGTTTTTCAGGAATTCGCGCATTTGGGCGCCCCGATTGCTTCTGTCTGCGTATATGCATACGCGCGCGCGGCCCACTTACCCCTTTTACCATGGCAGAACGCGCATCCCTTTGTTTTCTCGAGGCCTCCATTATGCTTTCAAACATGGATAACCGACTGACAAGTCAAATCGCGCGCAATATCGTACAATAGGCAAATAAAATAGAAATTAATCTATTGCCGAACTTTCGTTCTTTTATTTTTTCATTTTTTTATGCTGTTGTAAGTGTAGATACATTTCGTCTGTAGCTGTATTGTCTGTTAATTTAATTTCTCTGGCGTTTTCCGCTGCTTTCAAGACTCACAGGAAATTCGCGAATTTACCATAATTAACTAAATCTTATTTAGTTATATTTTGTTATTTAATTTATTGAATAATATGTTAGAACGACGAAACACACAGAATGTTCTGAAATCGAAAAAGCAAGCTATATAAATATTCTTAGTTAAGTAACTAGTAAGTTGACCCATTAATTTAATTACTTTACTGAGGTAAAGTATCAAAACATTCTCGCAATTGATGAACATATCGCAAACATTTGAATCATTTTCTCTTGCGAATATCGAGAAATCCTTCTTTTTTGCGCATAGAATTCTATTGTTTTTAGAAACAATTTTAGAGATTTGTTTTTTAGAAACGTCCATTACAGAGTGAAAGACATCCAACTAACCAGTGAACGGTAAACTGTGTAAAACCTTCGTACGCTAGATTCGTGCTGGTTAATGGAAAGATTTCTATCCGGCGAGGATTGATAACGCAGCAATGGAGCCAGTTTTCATCGCCTCGAATCTTTGAAGTGCTCAAAACGAAAAGTGAATTCCCCAATGCTCGACGCCGCATAGACACACACACACACACGCACACACACACATACACAGATGTATCTGTATTCCATAATTTACCTGATAATTTACCGCGGGGATTATTACATGATGGATGCAGAACACGGAGTCTGCAACAATCGTGCACTCTGCATTAGCGTAGCGTTGTAATTAATTATTTTCATTCATTATGCCGCATACAATGATGTTTGCTAGCATTAAATTAGACAACGGAACGTTGCATCGGCGGAAACTCGTAGCAACAGCAGCAGCAGCAGCAGCCGCAAGTACCTGATGCTTCGATCTAAATAATTCGCGCCGCTTTTGGTTAAATAAAGTGTTGAAACTTCGTTATCGTGAAACAGGTGCAACATTCAATGCACGCGAAATTGAGTAACTGACACGATATGTAGAATAACGTGGAAGTCTGTAAATAAACACCGTACGTTGTTTAGAATGAGATTAGCGTTAGATTGCTGCGGGACTACGTGTGTGTGTGCGCGCATACGTGTTTGCAAAAGAAATAGCAATTTCGAACTTTAAAATTACCGGCAACCTGTGTGGTCTATATATTTTTCCCCCGGAAATATATTTTTCCCGCCTCTCATTAAATAACGCGTTTAACGAAGTTTCCGTTTTAACTTCGCCTAACTTTACGTCCGGAGATTAAATTTCCCGTTTATTTGCCCGTTTCTTTTTACATGCGGCTAAAAAGACCTTTCGAAATTTGGCGTCCATGGAAGCCCCTCGTATATTTCCAGTTTCGCCTCGATACTTTGATGAATACGAGTTGCGGCCAAACACGCGCTCGCTACTTTCAGGCTTCCGGAACTCGATTTGCCGCCACACCTATATACAAGATAGAATCGAGATGCAAGGCGTTTAGAATGCCGAACTTTTCCACAGGCGAATCGAATCCCCCGTGAAAGGAAGACCCACGTGAGGGTGGTAACGTGGATATATCCTCCTCGCGCGGATCACGCGAGCTGAACTTACCTTCGTGCCACATACACATCGTGCCTGGTTTTCGTGAATTAAAGATATTTGCACGGATACGTTATGCGCTGCAGCGCATATCTTATTCCGCGCACTTCGTCGAATGAACTCAACAAAGCAGCGATTTTACCGCCGCGTTGTTACCGTTTTGCGATAATAGATTTTCAGTTTTATATGAACGACAATAGAATGAGCGTAACTTAAGGTAAGCGTAACAAATAGGTCGGAAGTAAAACAGAAGTATTTCTTTTCTTTTTATCACTTTTGAGAGACACAATGACAAAGATTCACATTTCATCCTGCATACAGATCGATTACACAAAGAGAACTACATTGAAATTTAATACTGTCTTCATTTATTTAGTTCCTTCTATCGATAGATGTATTAATTTTTGGCTTTATAGAATTTTAGGAGGCTGAATAACTACTCATTTAGACATTCATATCTGATTTCTTACTTAAGAACTATCTGATTTCTAACTTAATTGTTAGATTCGAAGTATTTGTCGAAAATGTCGATATCTGAACCATTAGGTTAATTTGATCTATGTAAAGTTTTCCAATTTTTTTCTATTTAAGGAAAAAAATTCAATTTTTTAATTCTTCAAACTAAATAGGATTTAATCAAATTTGAATGAAAATTGAATTTATAGGTACAATGTCGGAATATATATGAGATTAAAATAAAGGTGAAATAAAATATGTGATAGCGTTGTTTGAATATGTATATGTACTTTTTTAAAAAATGTATTGTAATATCTATTTCACAATTCTTTTTTCTTTTCTTCTAAAAGTAATGAAAAAAATAGATACATATATTTTACATTTGATAAAATTCCACAATCTCTCTCCAGCGGAAACTTGATTCGTAAACCTCCATTTTTTCGCGCACAGCCACGCGTGTCGAAAGATTTCGGTCCGTAGTAATTCCGAGGGTAACATGAATAACGTTTTGCGAATGCGACGCGGACCGTCGCGTTTTGGAGAGCGCATCGCGTATACGCCCCCGCCACGCGCATCTTTTTTCCTCTTCTTTCTCTTTTTTTTTTATACGAACGCGTTCGCACGGCGTAAAAGACATGTACGCCCGTTACGTATCCATGGATTATTCAAATGAGGTCAGGACGAGAAGCAGGCACATTCGAGCTCGCCACACCAGCAGCGCAGTCTCCTTGAATCGTAATCTGCTGTCGAGGGCAAACATCCTAAATCACCTGCGCTGCCCGGAAATAGGTCGTATCCGTGAAAATTTTAACAAAGCGCGCGCGCGCATGAAGGAAAAAAAAATCTTTTGCGTCTTTCGCTCTTTCGGCTGCATCACAAATAATACTCGGAATTTCGTCCTGTGAAGTGGCGATGTGTGTGTGTGGCAAAGCGTGCGCTAAAATTATTCAAACGATGCGGAATATCGCAATCAAAATATTATCTCTTTCGATATCGCGGATATACGCCATGTATCGCGATCAAATAAAACCACGCTAGATACGATTATTTTTTTAAAAATCGACAAAGGATGCGAAAAGCAGTGTTCCGCGAGAGTCCGGAAAAACCGCAGTTAATGTAAAAATTAAATTTTATGCTGCCGTCGACCATTTCAGGCTGGCATACTAAATTACAAGATGTAATATCAATATCTTGCTTGATAACAATGTTCCCATTTGCCGTAAACTTGTTGGGATATATAATATATTTCGTACGCCTCCGTAACACGCTGTTCAAATAATGCCGCAAGACGTCGTTATATAGCGATGTGCAAACTGCCCCATAACTCGCACGGCACATTTCCCCGGTGATTTACATCGAAAGAAATGAGCGGAGCGCGCGTGGCAGCACAGGTCGTCTTCTTAAAAAATTTAATAACAAGGTAATTCAGAAAGGGCCCGTGCCGTGGAAAGTAGTTTCTAATTCACGAGGGCCGAAGTAAAACAAGCGGAATTCAGGCTCGGTTCCGCGTTTGTTTTCTCCCAGCGTACCGCCGCCGCCGCCGCCGCGCCTTTATAACTTTCTTCTATTTTTCTTTGCCTTGATAAAAAAGTTTGCTGCCGGCGGCGGCGCGGCGGCGGTGGCGGTGGCGCGGGCAGCAAGGCCGGGCGATAGCCCCGCTCAGTAATTGCGGCGTCGTTTGTCGAGTTTCCCCCCTGCTCGCCAAGACAATCGACTTAATTAAATTACCGTGATTATACCCTCTGGTCATCTTTCTTCCTACAGATCGACGCGTGCCCTACAACATCCCGTCGGATTGGAAGGCCCTTTGGTTCAGCAATCTCGACGAGCTGCAGAGAGTGAACGAGGCGAACGACAACAACACCGTTTCTAACGTCACGGTGCAATTGGGCGGCACTGCCTTCCTGCACTGCAAAGTTCGCAATTTGGCGGAGAGGACCGTTTCCGATGCCGAGGTAAGAAAGCAACTATGTAACCCTTTGCAACCTCCCGCCCTCCCACCGGTGCGGGAAACTCTTAAAAGAAGCGACCGATTTTCAACGAATGGGCGAATCGAGTCGCAATCATAGCTTTCAAGTGCGAATTTCGATTTCTTTGGAATGACTATTGTGCCTCTTCTGGTGGATGCGATTCTCTTCTCGAGGCCTTTATCGTGCTTTTTTGTACATCGCATAAAGAAAGACGTGATATAAAATTCATGTATTGCATGTGTAGAAGCGAAATGAGTTGCGATGATACCTCTGTGTACTCCAAGATACAACAAAATTTATTTGAAATAATTACTCATCAATGCGAACGTTTAATTATATACATTTAATTATGTAATTAATTTATATTGAAGATATTAACGAGATATATCATTGTATTGTTTCTTGACATCGGAAAAATAACGGAAAATTCGGTAGAAACTTATCAAAATGTCATATCATGATAAGTTTTCTTCTATAATTCTTATTTAGAAATATTTCCCGACTTATTCCACCGAATTATTTACAATAATACACTAATACGATATATTTTAGTATCATTTTTAGATGTAGGCCAAATGCTTTCATTCTTGTATGACGCTTCACCGTAAATCATTTTACGATAGGGATAACGAATACGTATGATAAGAGAGTTATGCTAATATCTACGCAATAGCAACACGTACGTAGTACATGGTTAATCTTGTCCGTGTAACCATAGAACAACTCCATACAAATTTATTCATGTACACGAGCGTAATGGCCTCCTTTCGCACATCTACTCTGACGCTCTCCGGGGTGGTAAGGCGATCGATGATCGCGACGCATTGAACCCGTGCTGAGAGTATGGCAATCGCTATGCGATTCCACGGAAACGACGAGCTCGTATTGGATACAGATAGACGCAATAATGGCGCCCGCTGGAGATGTCTTTATCAAGCCTCCGACTTCCCTCTGGCGAGAGATCGATTTTATCCCTCATCGTCCCTGTTTCGATCATCGATATTTCATAATAAGACGCGGAAGAGTAAAGTGCCCATCTCTTCTGGCGCGTCACTATTGCATCATCTTGTATTCGATGGCTCGGCATCGATACGCTAAATCGCTCGTAGAAGCGTGCAAGATTGATGCTGGCAAAAAGCCGATGACCGCGACAAATCCGCCCCAATTCGTAAGGACATCCTTACAGCGACCGGCGATTTGGTGCCGGGAGAACTCGAGTTCCTAAGAACTTTCACTGTGAAAGCAGCGAAGTAAGCTCACACAGTATCAGCCATCATAGCCTTCTTCGTCATTGTGGAGTTTATAGGATCGGATGTCAATGACCGAAAGTCGGCCATTGTTCGACGTTATCGAATAACAATGGTGCTTTTGAACTTTCTATTTTAAACCGACGTCTCGACGACGTCCGACAGGCTTTGATGATGTATGATTGATACTTTCGCAACGTGACCTATGATTTATATGAAAATTTAACTTGCATCCAGGATGCATTATTCCTTTCTTTTACACCGGCAAACAATGTATTCGTGTTTATGAAGTTTATTTGGATTTCCAATTTCGGAAATGTTTATCGGAGCGATTAATTAATTTGTTTGCTATTATTTTACATAATTTAACCATCATTTCATTTCATTTAATTACAATTCCTAAATTGTAATACAAGATATCGCGCCTACGTCGTAAAATTTCGTGTGTTTTACCACAAAACAACGACCCGCATGTATTTGTAAAATACTGTGATTCTCAATTTTAACGGATAACATTACAAGTTAAAATATAATTAAATTATATTATTAACGAATGTTATTTGATCGTTAAGTAATTTCCAGACTTTGCTGATGATTTCAAATGAGAAAATATCAGCTAATATGAAGCTTTATGATTCACCATCTAATTTGGCTTCTATAACAGCTTATAGAATGGAGGAAAATAATAACTTATGATTTTGAAGCTACGAGCGTTTCAAAGCGATGCATTTCGTAAGATTTATAAAGTAAACGTTACACTATCGTAACTCGTTTTATGAAAGATTTATTGAGAAATTAATGAAAAGATTAGTGGATTTTTATCTTTAGAAATCTTACATGAGTATAATTAAAATAAAGATAAAAAATATATCAATTACGTCAGATTACACGGAAAGAACAATTTTGCTGAATCCAGATGAAAATAATAATTTTTGTTCAATAATTAAAATAATTTTATGCAAAAATCAAAATCAATGATTGCCAGAATATCAAAACGTTTTATAGCAATGCTTATCAGTTTTAACATTCCAAAAAATTATTTTGATAATTTAATAAAAAATTATTTTCAGATCAGTTTTTAGCAAAATTTTTAGACTTTTCAACAAAATCGTTCTTTCCGTGCAGTTAACTTATAATTTATTGTTTATTTTAATATATGCTATACGTTAACAGTTATTAACAATTACATAATGCCTATTAAACTGACTGAAGGATTTATGATGCCAAGAGAAAATCGTTTCTTACATTCTTGTTTTGTTATTATTGTACATATAATTTTAATTATTTACTGATTATGTGTTATTTTTAACAATTAGGAAATTTAATTTATATTTTTGAAATTTTGTGAGAGAGCCGGTCGTCTGTTATATATTTTAAGAATAGCGGGAAGGATGCATTACATGCGATATTTTCATGACAGTCCGTTGGGTATAGATAGTAATAAAAAAGTCAGCACGTTTATTTCCGATTAAACGCAACATTCTCAAGAGACCAATTATCCCCGAAGCTTCGAGCTTGATAAAAAATGATTGAAATCTCAAATGCCGCGAACTAGCGCTGTCGCGAATTGGCTAGGTGAATTCACTCAGAAAGATCCCGCCGCGCCACGTCGTTGCGGATGATCCGCAAATTCACTTACGACGTCGTTGCTTTTAATTCAATTATTTATGACGAATTCGACGGGCCGGCCGGGTCTGTATATTCGCCCGACCCTGGCGCGCGGCGTAACTGCATTATCGCGTTAGCAGTCAAACCGGGAAAGATTGATGGGGACGAAAAGTCGAACGCCGCGAAGTAATTTTGATAGAGCGGCCGAGAACGAGCGCCGGGCGCTCTCCGCGAAGCCGCACACCGCGCTATCAATGTTGTCTGAGAGGACTTTTTTTCCCTGTCCGTGGTCAATGCGCGCAACTGTTGGGGTTGACACTGTGGATGCACGAAAGCGTGTTGCGGAAAGTGCCAAGATAAACACGAAAGTCGATTATCAACATCTAGTTATGGATTTTTTATTGGAGGGAAATACCTCTCCCTCTCCCCCTCTCTCTCTCTCTCTCTCTCTCTCTCTTTCTCACTCATTCACTCACTCACTTTCTTTCTTGCGGTAGCAGTATCGATTCGCGCAGCATCGCTGGAGAGCGATATTAATGAATTACCCCTCGAAATTCCGATAATTAACGCGGCGCACTTTATTGGATCGGGAAAGCCATTTCGTGCCGAGATAAAACTTGAATTCGGAAGAAGACTAAATAAGTTCACGAGAAGCGCATGAAGAAGTGTCTTGACACCAGATCGGGGAATGGATTGGGGATTAAAATTATTATTTTTTATTTTATTTGCGTTTAGTCAATCAATCTTTAAACAAACGATTTGGATTTGCATTTGAATGGAGCTAATGTACTATTCAGTTCAGAGTTTAAAATTATAATTTCAAAGATAGCATTACTGAGTCTCTATAAAAGATTACATATGAAGATACGATCCTTAGAAATTTATTTTAAAGAATAGAGAAATATATAAAGCAAGATAAGCAGATAGAAGGAAGAGAAAATAAATACGAAATATGATAGATTTTTAAGATATTATCATCGGCGATCTCTTTATTTTATTAGAAAGATTTAAAATGATGGCAATATTATATTTGTATTTACCTGTGAAATTCTTCTATTTATAGATGATTAATTTTCTGGATTATATATTAATCTCAAGATCTTTTAAAGTTCGTAAACACATAATTTATTACATTACCACTGTCCCGAAGCGCACATGAGATTACATGTAAAGGAAATATGAGATATGTGGTTTTGTAAACTAGCGTAATTAGTATGAAATGTGGTTTAACATCGAACGCAGGTGCGGGGAGAAGGAAACCCAACGGGATATCTGACTTGGCGTCTTTGAGGGACAAGGGTCCTTTGTCTTGACGATCGTCGCGGTTGAATTGAAGCCATGGATTTGGTCGTCGTAATGGTCCACTTCCGCCTTTGGACATTAATTTCAACCCCTCTTGTGTGCGTCGTTCGATAAATCGATAACCACAATAAGAGAGGGATCTCTTGTGAAAGATTAATGTCTTAATGATATCTTCCAATTCCACCGGACAATCGATAATTTCGCGAAGGTTCTCTCTGTCTAACAGACGCGGCATGATGCGTATACCTAAGTTTTTCACTGCTTTACCATTTTTCTCTTATATTCGACGTTATTTAACGACGCATGTGCGCCCTTCGTGACGTAATAATATTTCACGATTAACCTGAGCCAGATTGCATGCAGTCGATATATCACGGGATTAAAAATAGCATTCTGGAATCCGGATATCGATGCTTTCATAAAGTCGACCGCCGCGCCGGCCGTTCCTTAAATCATGTGACATGACTTTAAAGGACGCGCGAGTCACTTATCTTGCTAACCAGCAAAAGCGAATAAATGAAAGTATGTGTGTGATGATTTATGACGGGCTGTACATGAGAAAACCATAGAAGCCATTAGAACAGCGGCTGCCGAAATATATTGTAATATATTCAATAATTACAAAGAGTGGCATCTAAATTTGCAGAGTGTAACGTATGTAGATTCTAATAAGTCAACCGTTCGGATCTAAAATTATGCAGATGTTGCGAAATTGAGAGATTCAATGCGATTTTGCGGAAGAAGGAAGGATACCTCGCACACTTTGGGAGTTGTGTAGATATCTAGGATATTTCCCTTGCTATCTGTACAAAATGCGAACTGGCGTCG